ATCCTGGGGTTCCTTCTCCCTTTCCACCCAGGGGCCAGTTTGAAGGGTGAGCAGTAGCTGTCCAATAATTTTTAAATTATCTCTCCTGGATCTATTTTCCAGGTCAGTTGTTTTTTCCAATGAGATTTTTCACATTGCTTTCTATTTTTCATTCTTTTGGTTTTGTTTTATAATTTCTTGATTTTTCATAGAGTCATTAGCTTCCATTTGTTCCATTCTAATTTTTAAGGAATTATTTTCTTCAGTGAGCTTTTGGACTTCCTTTTCCATTTGGCTAATTCTGCTTTTTAAGGCATTCTTTTCCTCATTGGCTTTTTGGACCTCTTTTGCCATTTGGGTTAGTCTATTATTTAAGGTGTTATTTTCTTCAGTATGTTTTTTTTGGTCTCCTTTAGCAAACTATTAATTAGTTTTTCATGATTTTCTTGCATCACTCTTATTTCTCATCCCAATTTTTCCTCTACTTCTATAGATTTTCAAAATCCTTTTTGAGTTCTTCCATGGCCTGGGACCGATTCATATTTTTCTTGGAGGCTTTGGATGTAGGAGCTTTGACTTTGTTGTCTTCTTCTAGTTGTATGTTTTGATCTTCTTTGTCACCAAAGTATGATTCTATAGTCTGAGTTTTTTTTTCCTCTGTTTGCTCACGTTCCCAGTCAATCACTTGACTTTTTAGCTCTTTGTTAAGGTAAGGTTCTGCTTCCAGTGTGGAGGGTGTACTGTCCCAAGTTTTAAGGGGTTTGTGCAGCTGTTTTCAGAGATACTTCTAGGGAACTGTAAATTTTCAGTTCTTCCAAGGTGACATGTTCAAAGGAGAGGTGTTTACTCTTTTCCTAGCCCGTACTCTTGTCTATGAGTGACCACAAGCACACTTTTCTGCCTTGGAATTGTGAGGAGAATTCCCTCTTCACCTCTGCCACAAGCTCTACCGTGCCAGCGTGCCTCCTTGCCCCAGGACCCGCCACCCAGAACTGTGACCCAGATTCAAACATGGGCAAAGCAAGAGAATCCAGCCTCAGTGCCAGCAAAGAGATCCTTGCAATCCCCCTCTAGTTAGCCACTCAGTATTTCCACTGTCTGTGAGCCCAGAGCTCCAGAAGCAGCCAACAGTGCCATTGCCCCGAGGCTGCACCAGGGCTGGGGCTGGACCCACTCCTCTCTCACCCAGGTCCTATAGACCTTTTCTACTGATCTTCTAAGTTGTCTTTGTTTGTTTGTGGGTTGAGAAGTCTGGAAACTGCCATAGCTGCCTGTGATTCAATCTCCTAAGGCCTGCTTTGGGTTTGCTGGGGCCCTATCCACCTGCACAACCCATGCTGAGCTGCGCTCCTCTCCCAGCCCAGTGCAACAGACCTTTCCTATCAACCAACCAGGTTGTCTTGGGCTGGAAATTTGTTTCACTCTGTCTTTGTGCGTTCTGCTGCTTAGAATTTGTTTAGAGTCATTTTTTATAGGTATTTAGAGGAGTTTGGGGGAGAGCTCAAGCAAGTCACTGCTTTTACTCCATCTTGGCCCCGCCCCCATTTTTTTTTTAAACTAAAGTATTCCATCAATGGGAGCACACCTCCTTGATTTACAATTCATATTCAGGTCCTGTAGGTGCTGAGAGTTTGCCACCTTGATTGGCTTTTTTTCCCCTTGGGATAGGGAGTTGTTCCTTCTATTTGCTTCTCCATCATTGTCCCAATTAACTGAGCAGAGGACTCTTCTTTCAGCTTCTCCTTTCTTCAGGAAAAGAAGCCTTTAAGCTATCTTGCTCATTCTCCCTCTAGGATACCTAATTTGTATACTATGTAAGCCTTATCTTCCTCTGATTTCAGGTAAGCAAAAAATAAAAAAAAAAATTTGGAGTACTGTATTCACTGTTGCCACTTAACTATTTTTAAGACATAAAAATGGTAGCCACTTCAGGTTTATGTTCTCCATATCTGGGAGGCCTTGGGACCCAGCAAGTTCAACACAACTTCTTTCCTTCCCCTTGTGGTTTGCTCCCTAGCTCTTAGAAATCACAAACCCACAGAAATGCTTTTTTTGTTGCAGTGATCTCTTCTTGAGGACTCTGAAATATTGAATGCCCTGTTAGCCCACAGGATCTGTCATCTTTCCATTTAACTTGAGAACTGTTTACTTGAGGAATCATCCATTCTTCTTGAACTTGAAGAGGTCCTTCATTCTCTGGACTCCTCTTTCCCTTCCTTCTATTTCAGATTCCTTTCCATCTCATGTGCTAGAATAGAAAGAGTGCTGGGGCTCGGAAAGAGAGGACCTGAGTTAAATTGCAACTCTACTAGCTATGTGACGTAGGGCAGATCACTTAATTTTTCTCAGCCTCAGTTTCTTCATTTGTAAAATGGAAATAATATATTTGCTCTGCTTTACCTTACAAGGTAATAAATAAACTTGTTTCTTTTTGCCTGGGGTATTGGAAGGGAACAGAGAAAGGAAAGTGATGGAACAAGGCACAGGGGAAAGGAAAAGAGGGAAAACATTCCAGAGATTTGGGTTGGTAAAAAGATGTAAATATAGCACTGGACTTGGAGTCAGGAGGACCTGAGTTCTAATCCAACCTCAGACACTTTCTAGCTGTGTGACCGTGGGCAAGTCATTTTACCTCTGATTGCTAGACAGAGAAGAGGAAGATACAAAGAAATATAATAGGAGTAGAAAAGTAAGAAAGGAAATGAAGAGGGTCCCAGTTGAATGAAGAGAACAAAAAGAGAGGAGGAAGAGTGATGAGGGATGTGAGGACTACAGCAAGAAAGGAAGGAGAAGGGCAAAGGGAAAACCGGAATCATGCTCCTAGGAAGTTAGGCACCTACAGGGAGGTGAGTTTTCTAAAGACCTACTCCCCCTCTTCTAGCCCCAGATGAAGAGCTCACTGTGGTGGGAAAGATCTCCTTCAACCCTAAAGATGTTCTGGGCCGTGGCACAGGCGGCACCTTTGTGTTCAGGTGAGTAAGGTCCAGGTGGCCAACCCTGGAATTCCTACCCATTAGCCTTCACTCTCATCTGAGGCACAGAAGGAGGCCAGCCTACTTCAGGAGGTGATAAGGGCAGTCCTTGGGGTACATGAGAGTGCTGGCCAGCCCTCAGCTTTGAGATCCCCAGTCTATCCTGGGGTTCCTTCTCCCTTTCCACCCAGGGGCCAGTTTGAAGGGCGAGCAGTAGCTGTAAAGCGACTGCTTCGGGAGTGTTTCAGCCTGGTGCATCGGGAGGTGCAGCTGCTCCAGGAGTCGGACTCACACCCCAGCGTGTTACGTTACTTCTGCACTGAGCGGGGACCCCAGTTCCATTACATCGCTTTGGAGCTCTGCACAGCCACCCTGAAGGAGGTGAGCCTGACACCAATAGGGCCTGTACCCTGTCCTCCTTTCCTGATGACAAGACAGCTCCCCAGTAGCTTAGGTTAGGTTAGATTTAGGTTAGGAAGATTGGCTTCCTTATCAGCTGACATTTATTCAGTGCTTTGTGTTTATAAAGTGCCTTCACATATCTCATTCGACCCTTTACTACAACCCTGTAAGGTGTAATCAGGGNTTGTGTTTATAAAGTGCCTTCACATATCTCATTCGACCCTTTACTACAACCCTGTAAGGTGGAGAAGACATGATATTATCTTAGTGTACAGTTGCAAAAACTGAGGCACAGATAAGTTAACTGACTTGCCTCTGATCACTTGGCTGTAAAGTGGAAGGTTCAAGATTAGAAGCCCACCCTTCTGATTTTTTTCTTCCCAGACTACTAAACTGCTTCACCCCAACAGTCTCTTTCCTGCCTCTAACAAGGACAGAAAAATCATTTCTGAACAGCAGGAAGGATTGAAGGAAGAGATATTAGAAGCAAGAAAAAAAAATCGAGAGGCTGTTATAGTAATTCAGGAATGGAAAATTGAGTCCCAGGACTGGAAGAGAAAGGAAGAAATTCAAGAGAACCATTTTGAAGAAAGAAAAGATAAGATGATACACATGCAAATTCAACATTTCCCAAGCATTTAACCATGTGTGAGGCACTGGGCATATAAGCTAGCAAGCCTTTAAGGAGTTTATAGTCTAAGAATGGAAAACAACACAGGAAGGGGAGCCTTGGAAAAGGGAAAGGGATAATACATCACCCAGAGTAAAGATGGCCATGATGTGAGCTGGAGGTCTGGATCTGAGCAAGATTAGATGAAAGCTATAGACCTATCAGAGCCCAGGATGGTTCCAGGAGTGGAGTTCAAAGTTCTAGTGGAGGTGGACATGATGGTTTGAGTGGAGATGGTATGGTGTGGATATGGCTTGATATGTGTCAAGTACTGTTCTGGACACTAAAGATACAAAAATAAGGACTTTATATAAGTCTCTACTCTCAAGAAGCTAACTCTCTGTTGAAAGTATACCACATTTTCTCTCTTTTAATTATTTTCTATTTATCCTGTACATAGCTTGCTTTAGATATATTTGTTTGCTTGTTGTCTCTCCTGATTTTGCTTCAATGTTTTCCTTTGTTCCAGAGGGTTTGTTCCCATGGGAGGAAAGCGTAAGGGGAAATGAACAATGAAATTTTTTTGAAGGGAAATAAAAATGTGGAAGGTGATAACAGTTTTAACACCTTGGTGCCTCTCTCCTCAGTATGTTGAAAATCCTGCCCTAGATCGCTTGGGCCTTGAGCCAGTGACCCTGTTATACCAGCTGACCTCCGGCTTGGTCCACCTACACTCTCTGAACATAGGTATGGGGTGGGGGTGGGGGGTTAATGCCCCATTGCTCCCTCCCCACCTGAACCAATATTCTCTGCCCTCCTCTGAACCCCAACAGAACTTTGCTCTCTTCACCCCAGTCCAACAGTACCAAACCTCACCAGATCCCCTCAGTCCTAGCCGACCTTTCTCTGTGTTCCTCAGTCCACCGAGACTTGAAGCCCTGTAACATCCTCATCACGGGGCCTGACAGCCAGGGCCGGAGCCGAGCTGTCCTCTCTGACTTTGGCCTCTGTAAGAAGCTGCCTGCTGGACGTCACACCTTCAGTCTCTGCTCTGGCATCCCAGGCACTGAGGGCTGGATTGCCCCAGAGCTCCTACAGGATGAACCCCCAGAAAGTCCCGTGAGTGGACTTGACCCTGCCTACAGTCAAGAGGGAGGGCAGAAACTCCCACATCATCAAGAGCTATACCACTGGACCCCTGAGTCCTGGGCTTAGCCAGTCCCCTTTGGTCTCAGGGTCATGAGTCTCTTCCATTCCCAGGGTTCCAAGCCAGTCAGTTTGTCAACAAACATTTGTAAAGTACCTACTATGTGCCAGGCACTATATTAAACTCTCTAAGACGGTTCCTGCTCTCAGAAAGCTCACAGCCTGATAGGGAAACAACATGCAAAGCACCATGTACAAATAAGATACATACAGGATAAACTAGAGATAAACAAGAGGGAAGGTATTAGGATTAAGGGGGCTTAGGGAAAGGTTTTTTGTTGAAGGTGATATTTTAGCTGGGACTTGAAAGGAAGCCAGGCGGCAGAGATGAGGAGAGGAAAAATTCCAGGAGTGGGGAACAGCTAGTGTAAATGCTTTAAGCCTCAGACTTTTCTCTCCTTCCTCACCACTGACAAATCTTCTCAAAGCCCTGGTTTCCTCATTGTAGGATGAGGAGGGTTGGACTCAATGACCTCTAATATCTTTTCCTGCTTTAAATCGATGATCCATTGATCCCTAGGTCAGAAGCCTGGCCATGAATGGAAATTCGGATTTAGGTCTTTTTTGTTGTTGTTGTTGTTGTTTTACTTGCCCAGGGTCACACAGCTAGTAAGTGTCAAGTGTTTGGTCTGAGGCTGGATTTGAACTCAGGTCCTCCTGGCCGGTGCTCTATCAGCTGTGCCATCTAGCTGCCCCGGATTTAGGTCTTTTAAGTCACACTTGATAAAGTAGTCCCCTCTAACATCATCTTTGCTCTCTGGTTTCTGGATCTCTCCCGCTCCTTTTCTCACAGTGTCTTTCCAATCTTTTCTACTTTCCCATTTTTCCTCCCAGAAAAATACGTCCAGTCTATTCCACATATTGTACTTGATCCAGAATTATACATAGAAATGAGAGATCTATTTGGGGCAAGTTCAGGACTATGAGAGCCTTGAAGTGAGAAAAGAATGGAGAGTTATATGTGTGGGTTCAGGGGAAAACCTGGACCAGTTGTGGAATTAGCTTGGAAAGGCCTTCTGGAGCCAGGGCCTGTCTTCTCTCATCCTTGCTTTTTGTCTTCAGACCTGTGCCGTGGACATCTTCTCAGCAGGGTTGGTGTTTTATTACGTTCTCTCAGGTGGGGGGCACCCATTTGGGAACAGCCTGCACCAACAGGCCAACATCCTTGCAGGGGCTGCTCAGATGGACCACTTTGAGGAGGAGACACATGGTAAGGAAACATTAGGAGGGGAGGAGACTGCATCCAGAGCCCTGGGATCCCTTTCCTCCTTCCTTTTGCCATCTTGTTGATCTGGGGATGGAGAGCTTGAGATGGAGGATGACTTGGGAAGGAGAGTAATGGAAGACCAACATGCATGACTGACAGCCATTCCTTCTACAGAAAAGGTAATCGCCAAAGAGCTGGTGGAGGCCATGCTGAGCCCTCAGCCCCAGCTTCGGCCTTCAGCTCAATTTGTGCTAGCTCATCCCTTCTTTTGGAGCAGAGCCAAGGAGCTTCAATTCTTCCAGGTAAAAGAGGCAGCCACACTCAAGAGAAGAGAAAAATCCTTGGGGAAGATCTTAAGATGGTTTTTTTTTTTTCCTAGACCTGGTTCTCCAAGAGCCTCTGGTCTGTCACAGATCCTATCTATCACCAGCAATGGGTGACATCCTCCCACTTTCAAATCCACTCCTAGATGGGTATAGATTGAGGCCAGGATTTGGGGGGAGGGTACCCCAGAAAGCATACCAGAAACTTCAGTGATGGATCCCTTTGAGTCAGGGCTAAAAAGCCCTGAGGCTGATAAATAGCCAATGAAAGCCAACTTGGGCAAAGTTAGGACAGCTTCCCTGACCCCCAACCAATGTTCTTTTGTGACTCTTCTTGCCCCTCAAGGCTGCCCTGGGTAGTCTTTTGCCTTCAGTGGTTAAAGAAGGGGCAAGTGAGGTCTCATGCCCCACCATCCAGAGTGTACCCCTCTCCTCTCCCATTAGTCACAAAAGGTCAATCACTGGAAACCCAGCTTTCACAGGCCATGTGGCTCCAGGCCCATTGGCCCAGCACCTTAGAAGTTGATGGCTACGGGGAAGGTGAGTCAGAGGCAATAGGAGCAGGTACAGTGACAGCTGACCTTTCTATTAGGACTTTAAGATTTGCAATGCATCTTACATCCCTCATGTTATTTGATCCTCATGAAGACCCCACAGTTATTATCCCCATTTTCCAAGAGGAGGAAAGGTGAAGTGAGGGGAATGGGATCACAAAGCTAGCAAATGTCTGAGGTGAAACGGGAACCCAGGTCTTCTTGATTCCAAGTCCAGGGATCTCTATCCACTACCCCATGATGCCTCTCCTGAGCTCATCCTTGTATGGTTGTTAATTGCCTGGTTGCTATCCTCCCATACAAGTGAGCAGCCTGAAAAGCCATGTTGAAAATGACATTGGTCTATGACAAACTCTAATCATTTGGCCCAGTGTAATGTCCTATGTTTTCTCACTGGCTAGGAAAAAAAAAAAACAAAAACCAAAATACATACATATCAATGTAAGAGAACAAAGTTTAGAGCTGGAGGCAATCTTATAGAGCAGTATTTGTTTCCCACCAGCCACAAGTGGGAGAGGGAAAACTTAAAATCTAAAAAAAAAGGGAGGTGGGGTGACATAAGGTTGGAACAAAGAAAAACTAATCTCTGTAGCTAAATATTTACCATTGAAATTAATGGGGAGGGATAGCTAGGTGGTATGCCAAGGCTGGAATCAGGAGGACCAGAGTTCAAATTCAGCCTCAGACATTTACTAGCTGTGTGATCCTGGGCAAGTCACTTAACCCCAATTGCCTCCAAAAAAAAAAGAAAAGAGACAGAAAGAAGAGAAGAAAAGGAATCTTGGTTTGGATAAAGAAGAAGAAAAGCTAGGAGAATGAGGCTGGCTGCAAACTCTGAAGCTTTTCCCAGCCATTAAATGGCAAGGTCCTTCACAATTTGTCCCCACTAAAACCCCACTCCTCCCCTACATAAATCCTTACCTCTATTCAGGCCAACTTCTGAACTGTGGCCAGAATACAAGGTTCAGTTTCATATCTGAACCTTTAATCCTGTACTTCTCTGATGTTTTTTTAGTCATCCTTTGTTCTCAGACCAATCATTTCCTTTTTACCCTGGCCCATGAAACACTCACTGTCCTTACAACAAAGTAAAGCATTTAAGCAAGGCCCACACAGCTGATCCATCCAGTAGTATAAACCACCTTTCACTTCCACAGTGCCCACCTCTCCACGGAGAGGAAGGTGTCCTTCATTAGAAGCTCTCCAGGAAAGAACTCATTACAACCACTTTTTATCGTTATCGTTTATATTGCCGTAGTTATACGTGCTTTTCTCTTGGTTCCTTCCTCGCTCTGCACCAGTTCATACAAATCTTCCCTTAGTTCTCCAAATTGCTCAGCTTGTGATCCCTGGATGTGAGCGAATGCTCAGCCCAGTTGACAGGTGCCCATTTCTCCCTCCCAGTTTTTCCTACTAACCCTAATACTGCTGTGAATATTTTATTGCACATAAGATCTTTCTGGTTGATCTTCTTGGGTGTTATGCCCAGCAGTATAATTGCTGGGTCAGAATGACTTCTCACATAACAAGATGCCAGCTTCTACTTCCTACACTTATCCAGATTCTACCAAGTGTCAGTTCCTGAGTTCTATAAGCCTCATTGCTTTCTCTCTTCCCTGAACTTCCATAGCACCAAATCCCACGCAGAACATTACATAGTTATGGATTGGTCTTAGATTGGCCCATACATGGTCTTCTTGTCTCCCCAACTAGACTGCCAATCTCTTAAAGGCAAGACAACTAGACTCGATGTCCAGGGCTGGGGGGCTCAATGACTCTTTGTTGGCTGGCTCTAGGATGTCAGTGACCGAGTGGAGAAGGAGGCTGCGGAGGGGCCTTTGGTGACAGCTCTGGAAGCTGGAGGCAAGATCGTGGTCAGACAAAACTGGCACAGTCACATCTCCGGACCGCTGCAGTCAGGTGGGGAGGACTGGACAGACAGGTTGCTTGGCCAGGCCTCTCTTATCCAGAGAATTGAAGACTGAGGCTGGTTCTCTTAGACCAGGCCCTATCCTGGAGGCTCTCCCCACTGTACATATCTTCCCATTCCCCCAGCAAAGGCTGGCGCAGACCTTAATCCCTCCCTCTCTTGTTGATTCTCCTCCTCCCTACCCTCCACTTTTTTTTTTTTGCAGCCAAAAACAAGGTTTATTGAAGATTCGCCATATTAGCTAGACTCTTAAGGAATCTGAGCATCTATGGGCTATTGGCTAGATTCTAAGAATCAGAGCTTCTTAATAGAGACAAGATGGACCTTATATACAGAAAGACTGTGGGAGGGATCTAGGAGTGGCCAAGTAGTTTTGGGGTGACAGGAGGAAGGGCCTAAGGAGATCTGGGTGGGAGGGGCTAGTAAGCTGGGGTGAACAGAACTCC